TATTAGTCAACAAATTACAACTCCAGATAGCAAACGAGCCTATCGCTGAGTTCGTTTATCCAATATTGATTGAGCTCTTCATATACGCTTACTAACTATGTACTCGCTTTCTAGTAGGTCAGAGAAGATATAATTGTGCGTCACAAGGAAGTGAATACACTACCGGACTGGTAATTTGAGACACATGAACATCACTAATAGCAGGAGAAACACAATAACAGTTTCTCATAGTTGATATGACGAATAAAGTCGAGTTTTATTCAGTAGTTCGATAGTGGTTAAATATGTTTGCGGCAAAATTTCAGCATTTAAAATCGTTTCGTTGTAGGAACAGACGAAAATCAGAGTTACACCAATACTATAAGAAGCAAAAGTGTACCTTAAAACTTTTAAAACACAACGCAAAAGTTTTGTGCTAAAGCAAGGATGTAAACGTAATTTTACTAAATAGAGATGGTGGAGATTAAAGTATCAGCTATTAAAATGTTAATGATGACGCGATACGGAGTGAACCAGCAAAATCTCAACTCCTGCTATAGATAATTAAAGTCGGCTATTATTCTGGAAGCCAGCCTTAATGAAGTCAATTTTATCAGGCTTTTCCGTTCGATCGGCAAAATATGAGCTTAAAGGGGTTAGACCACCTGAGAAGGCTTTTTCTCGAGTAATATTCGCTTCTGTGCATTATTTATTAATGCGTTTAATTAATCGAGATCATAAATTTGATGTTAAATATGCCATGTTTTTGGACTATTTAATAGTTCTTATGTTTCTTGATATTTATGATAATCTAATAAATTTACTGACTAATCTAATCTATAACTGACACATTCATATTCGAATGACTCACATTACTCAATGGCATGATGCTTGTAATGATTTTTCTTATTATGTTTTCAATCTTTAGATCAAAATTTATATGCTGATTATTGTCTTTAAAATCACTTCATAGAAACTCTTCTGCTATGTCAATATCAGAACATACATTTTTAATGACAACAGTTTGCTATTTTGTTGTTTTACACAAAATATACAGTAATTTTTGGTGAATATATCTTTTGTATAAACTAATAAGCTCGATCACATTTTGTATAAATGTATACTAATTGCGCTTTTCATTTAATATTTAAATGATCTGTTGCATATTCTAATTGAAGTGTCATCTCTTTTGTGCTGTATAATGTTTGTTTTTGTATGATCTTTTAAATGAATAATACATGAACATTTGTGTTTGTATTAGAGGATGTTTTTTAAATCATTGTTCATGTGTTTTGTTGTGTTCTGAATTTTTGTTGACGCCTAAGGCGGAAATGACGATATTGTAGATAATGAAATGCTTGATGTCAGATTGAATACTGTTTTTCTACCTAAGGTATTGTTAACGATCGATCTGGTGTATTTTCTACCTTCATTGGCATAAATATCTACTGAATTTTGTTCTTACGATTGAATGAATACGTGGCAAATTATGACCTTAATCGTATGCATATCGACGTATTCCCTTAATCAGAATGAATTTTTGTCCAAGAATTTATATACTATTTTTTAAATACGATGTGGCTTACACGCACTACAATACAATGATGTCGCTAAAAGCCTTTTGTTTCTAATGCATTTAGTTAAGTGAATGCATCGGATCATGTGCATAATTAAATGGGGTGCTTTAAACACGTTTTACATGAAAGATTCCACTATTGAATTACAGATATTACATATTGGTAGAATGTGTTCTATTTTTAGTTTCTCGTATTTTTCTGACATGTTGAGCACGATTCTCTTGTTTCAGAGCATCTTGTTGTTCTTATCGTTAATTAACAAAACTTTTCATTTTTCAAACAGAGTAAAGAAAATCTGTTTATTGCGTGAGAAAATATCAACAAATGAATGAATAGATTTCTCATTGATTATCCAAATAAACATGAGAAGTATAAATCTAGACTAGAATGAAATACATTAAGGTCTAAGAATGGCTGTCGGGAAATAAAAAACTTCTGTTCTTTTGTCAGAATTGTTTCAGAAAGTTTTTCAAAAAACTTGTACATCGAATATTCCTTATACATTACACAGCTACAATTGTTAACATTATAAGACATACAAACTCAATTAAGAACTCGATTATATAAAAGAAATCAATCATCATTTGAACAAGAACTTCTTAGTGAATTATGAATGAATTTTTACTAAAGATCACGATATCTCTTACTAAGATCGTAGAAGATTTTGATCTATTCTTACAAAGATCTTCTCAAAGTCTGAAATTTTCAAATGTCACGATCTCAGTAAAAGTTAGCTAAAAATCCTAGACAAATGTAAGCGAAACTTTGATAAGATCTTCAAAATATTCGAGTAAGCTTCTCCTTAAAGATTGATCGTTGATATAGAATACACATGATAAGATATAGTAGTGCGTGGTAGTAGTAATGCGGAGAAAATTAGCAAGAAAGACTACTCGATGTTGTGTAGAAAGGCTTTTATTAGTTTTTTTATTTTTATTAATTACATTACCGTGACACTACTGTTTTATTTGACGACACAGTTTCCGGTTATGCTTTATCTGAAACTCACCCTTACTTGATTACTTATCAGATTAGACTAGTTAAATTATGCAAGCAAACTAATATATCACTCATTCTTGATCACATCGTTACTCGTAAATTCTGAGAGTTTTCAACAAAGGTGTCAATTTAACGAGGTCTGCATGTCATTATTATCGAATGTATGATTAAGCGCTGAAGTGACAATGGAAACTTCTCATACAACGCCGGCCGTGTCACCACACGCAAAAGTTGAATCATAGTCTTCACAAATGATCCACTTACGAGCGAATCGCCCGAAGTACTTCGCAAGTTACGCTTCCGTATTATCGGTAGAGGTAGATCTAGATAAGATTAAGAAAAGCCTAAAAGTGTTCGTAGCCATGACTTTTATTTTTCGAGATATGATCTACTTTATGTCGAAAAACCGCGATTTTTTCACTTGTTCTGGAATTTTTTCTCAAATAGCTTGATTAGCTATTATTTTTTCATTGACTAAAGCGTTCTCTACATTTTCTTTTCATTCTTACAATATGTGTCAATGAAAAGTAATAATTACCTCGAGTTGTACGCAAGCGGTTCAGTTGAAGTTTTTGTAACAGGTAGACCGCTAGTCAATCTATTTGAGAAAAAATTCCAGAACAAGTGAAAAAATCGCGATTTTTCGTCATAAAGTAGATCATATCTCGAAAAACAAAGGTCATGGACACGAACACTTCTAGGTTTTTCTTAATCTTATCGAGATCTACCTCTACCGATAATACGGAAGCGTAACTTGCGAAATACTTCGGGCGATTCGCTCGTAAGTGGATCATTTGTGAAGACTATGATTCAACTTTTGCGTGTGGTGACATGGCCGGCGTTGTATGAGAAGTTTCCAGTGTCACTTCAGCACTTAATCACACACTCGATAACAATGATTAGTTATTTATAAAGTGTTGTCTCAATCCTAATGACAATGTCCCATGATTTACCTAATGGGGTTCAAGGAGAAATCGGGAGAAACGTCCTATCCAAAGTATCTATTACACATCGGAAGATGATATATAGTTCGCCTGTATGTAGCTCTGCTAATAGTACGTAAATATGGTTTTATGTTTTGTCTCGCTGGGGATAGCATGATCATCGGACCCCGTGGAAAGCGATAAAAATACCAGTAGGACATTATGAGCTATGCGGTGAGAAAATGATGAAACCTAAACTCATTTTATTTTATACATGTGCGCCGCTTATTAGATATTTTCATAATATCTATGAATTTTAATACAACAAAGATAATCTCAGTAACTATCCAGATAGGAGGAGAGATATTACAGCTTAGAATGAAGAAGAATTACATAATTTGCTTTGTATAACTGTAGGCCAAGATTTTCGACTTAAAGTAGTTAGAAAAACTCGTTATGCGTTTTTATTGATTATATTTTGTTTTGACATAATAACCATGACATTGATATTAATTGAGCCTATAGTCATCAAGTCATCAATCATAATTGACTTAAAATTTCTCAAAAGCCCTTTCGTTATCAAAAAAAATGTCTGAATTAACTGATGAACACCATGTCACACATGAAAAATTGCCATCTATTTCTCTTATGTTCACGCTAGCTGGTAAAATCAAAAAATGGACGAAATCTGCTCTGTTGTTGTACGTGGTTAAACGTTAACAACTTTTACACGTGCAGACAAGTATTAAATTTCCAGTGGTTCTAATATGTAAATGTACTTAATCTTAAATTCATGCAGGTTCATTACGAGTATGACTTTTTATAAACTGTGTTCCCTTTTTTCCTTTCTATTTCTCATATATATATATAATATATATAGCTATATAAACGAGTTAAAAAAGATGAGTTGTGTACAGAACACAAAATATCTAGCTGTACGTAATATAATTCTAGATCTATCATAAATGAATTTTTTTTGTTCTTTTCTTCCCTTATACTGTGTTCAAAACGAATCAAAATACTCTTACTTCGCTACTTCTCTATGCTAAAGTTTGTGTCTTCTTTGTACTCTAGTGGGCAAATCGAAGATCTAAGAAGAAATAAAAAGGAGGAAAAAATGTGTCTGTATGTGTATTTTCTATATCGAGTTAAACCTCAACGGAACCGTCAATACTTTTTTTTGTTCCTCTTTCATTTTGTTTCATCTCTATTCATTCTACATACAAACTGTGGAAAATTAGACAGATTTTTAGCTTAAAATAAATCACCAAAAATTACAAATATAAGATTCTACACGTTTTCAGGTATATATCATTTTCTAGATATAGATTTTAGTAAAACAGTATATTTGCATTTGATAGACAAAATGTGTATTTCTGCTTCACTCGAAAGATTTCAGATTTTTTGACTTTTTACAGACATTGGTATCATACGAGTTTATCTACACATGTGACTGAGAGCTCATTACTAGACGTCATCCGCAAGAATAAGTACAACATATTCAATTCAAAGAGTTTTCATAATGAACAGTCAAATATGGACTGTTGCACAGAAACTGAAAGACAATATTAATGTAACGTATTCAACTGCATCGAAACATATTGCTGACACGAGTAGTTCAACAGTCGTCCATAATGATCGAACCGGTTTATTTATAGCTTTGTTTCTCTCACTTTTACTTCTTATACTTATTCTCTATTTATTATACAACTTTTTTTCCTATCGTTCATTGTGCAACACGTGTCGGAAATCAGAAAGAATTAATAAGAAGGTAACTGATAATAATAATAACGCCAGTATTCATGATCATTTACAAAATCAACACTTAGAAGATGACTCTTTTATTGATAATATTGACAATACAACACCAACATTATCAAAACGTTATTCTCAATCGTCTTCTATTCGCTCTTATAACAGACAAAATTCTTATAAAATTTCCCCTCAAGCATCAAATCTATTGACGCCACGATTATCACAAATATTAACTACAGCTGGAGGAGACGATAGTAATACGGACATTGATTCTTGTATAAAAACTCTATTATCAAATCAAGAGTTAGAGCCCTATTCAGCTAAGTTATTATCTCGTTCAATATCCAAATATTACGAAAATAAGAGAAAGTTAACGCGTTGCACAAGTTTGACTCGTCGATCTCGATCATGCGAACAGTTGAATGCATTTAACGAATTAAACTCTAGAAAATCATTAACCATAATTAATCATCCACAACATCATCGACGAGTACTTTCCGAAAGGCCAAAAGGTTATAGGAAAAGAGAATATCTAGCACCAAAGGATGCTTCGAGATTGTCGGCAGTTGAGCATGATTTTTCAACAGTACCAACATTAAGAAATAATGCTGGTCTCTGGAAAAGTGAGCACTTGAGTAAAAAAGACAGTAATACGACTATGACAAGTAGTATAAAGAGAAAACCACGACGTACATCGCAACCTCAGATAGTATCGCATCATCAACGTCAACATTCATTGTCTGATAAACAAAAACCTACAACAATTTATGAACTATTTCGATCGGATAAAATGAGAATTGCAAATTTATTGTAAAATAATTGCTAAACTGCGTATTTTTTGCATATCATTTCCGTTTAAACATTTAGTCAATAAAGTGAAGTAAAAATGTACGCTAGGGTATATTACAGATCAGTTCAATCCATCATTTTTAAGGCGTTTATTAATATCTTCAAGGACGGACGGTAAATGTTTAACGCTATCAATCACATAATGTGCACCACTATCAAATAATTCTTCATATGCCTTGTTCACTTTTGCTGTAAGCTTTACATCTGATTGACTAAGTTCTTCTTCACTTAAACCCACATAATTTCCGGTTTTTGCCACACCAACGGTCCAACATCCTGATCTTCTTCCTTCTTGTATCCCGTCACGAGTGTCATCCACTTTAATAACACTTTTAATATGTTCCACTGTTAATTCAAGACAATTTTTCCAAATCATAGATGGAAAAGGTCGAGCAACATTTACTTCATCTGAGCACACGCTATAATCAGGTATAAATCCTTGTTTTTCTACCAACGGTAACAATGAATTTAACATTGGACGTGTATAACCTAATAAACAAATTTAATCGTTAAGCTAAGTTAAAGGGAAAGGACTATCAACGATAACCTGTTGTAGAACCAATTTTAATATTCAAACGTTTTAAATAGTGGACAGTTTCAACGAAACCATCAATAAGTTTTGAATATTTTTTCATATTTTCAATTTGAATCGGAGTAAATTTACTATACATTCGTTCTAAATCAGAGTTTATTGGAATTTTATTGTTTTTACTTAACCAACGCTGTTTAATTGAGGGCATTTGTAACATTTTCTCGATATGAACTCGCTTATGCACACCCATTGGCAATCGAATTTCATCATCTGTCACATCAATACCTTCCAATTCAAATACATTTCGAAATGATTCAACTGGCGCTTTCACTCCACAATCACATATTGTTCCTAAATAGAGATTAATGTTGAAGTTAACATTTTAGTATAGGAGAGAAAATCTACCCGCCCAGTCAAATATAACACATTCTATTAGTTTAGGATATTTGATGAGACTCCTAGGAGAATGACGTACGAAAACCATTAACACTTTATTAGTTAGTCATCCATCTAATAGATCATGGTAGAATTTATTAACCGATATGACTCATAGTATCCATGCTAGAATAAAAAATTGAAATGAAAATGACGACGATATTTTCTCTAAGATGAGACCCCCTACTATTACTTGTTTAACTGGTTTTTTATGATGTCAAAAAAATATATTTTCATTCTTTTTTCTTTTTCTTTTGTGGACTCTCTAACATACAGTCACTAAAAAGTAAAATGTTTTTATAGTCTATTTATGTCGACATGGCTTTCGTTCTACTTTTCACAAATAATATGCTTTATCATTTTGACATAAAGATATGACGAAAAATATTTGTATGTTGGAGGTATCGACATTTTATTTTTAAAATGCCAAGCATTTTGTTTTCTAACTATTTTACTGAAAAATAAAACAAATATGATACAGAGCAGAAAACATTTAACTTCAAACAAAATCAAATTGAGAGTAAACTAATTAAAGTTTTATGTATATTAGTAGGATATTTTTTTTTAAATATTCACTTTGTACTGGTCAAAGGCATGTTTACCGACTTAAAAACAATAGAAAATGAGAATAAATGTTCGATGAAGGATAAAAAACGTTTTTTTTTTTCTTTTGTATCGCTTAAGCTTAATCGCCATTTCACTTTTATTTTCCTTGGCACTTTAATAAAATGACGTACATAGAATACAAAATCATTATTCCATTTTAGATAATTCTCTTTATGGAATTTTTTTCTCTACAGTTATACTTGTTTGGCATACATATGAAACGTAAATGGAATAATATATATGATAACATCTTATAATTATAAAAATAATGACAATGAATAGTGTTGTCCTTTATTATTAACAGTGTGAAAAATAATGGGATGCATATGAGAAAACAAAAAGAACAAAGTGAATGCGTGAAAAAAAAATGACAATATTATTCAAGTCTGCTTCTTACATTCTTTTAATTTAAACTCGCTAAAAATGACAACGACTCATACATCTAGGAAAATAGTTATATAAAAATAGGAATGAAACAAAAAAAAAAGTTATGAATTTTCTTTCGTCTTAATAAAAAGTAACTATTTACATAACCATCCGGTAAATTATCAATAGTCTATAAAAGAGCATTAATCTTGTTGTGTTATTGAACGCAAATAACTAGACATAGAAATCTCGATTTGATCATCATTGATCGACTAACTATTTATAATTTTTCTCTTGTAGTATATCTATATATATCTTCTTTCTGTTACCTGATGTATTCGATGTAGATCTAGAAACAGATATTTGACGTTTACGGTATATCAGCATCTATCGAAGCAAACGTGACACCTAAATTTGGAGGTCTCGTACGTCCATATGTTGTCGTCATTAGAGGCGGTGGTGTTCGATTTAATTTTTCATCAATAGTTTGAAGAAGATGGACAATATTTTGTAACGTATGGCCCATTTCTATCACATTAGTTTCTATTCGAGTCATTCGAGATAATACTGTTAGTTTTGATCGATCTCTTTCAGATGTTTCACTACCGATGATTGGTGGTTGTTTACCAATTGAATGTTCTAATCTAAAACATCATAATGATTAAATTAATATAAATCTTAGCAAACGTACCTAATTGCACGATAACTACTTGAAAAAATTGGAAAGAATTTAAAACTACTTACCTATCGTAAACTTTTACAAGTACTTCTTCGAGATTACAATACTTGGTTTGATTACTACTTTGTAAAAGTATTTGTACTTTTGAGAAGTACTTGAGCAACTACTTGTCAAGTGAGGTGAATACTTACAGGTAAATTTATCTCAGGAAAAAGGTAAAAAACCGACTTCACTACACAAATGAAGTACTCAAGCCCCAGTACGTTCACTTAGGAATATTTTAGAGCACGATAAGTCAGATTGATTTTTTATTTGTATTCGTTACACCTTGTCAAAGTGTCCTGTAATCAATTATACAGTCTCTTTTATCACAATTATCTTCAAAGATATGTAGATTTAACCACCAAAAAAATGTACGTTTTTTTATTAATACCGCATAGAAAATAACGGATGAAAAACATTTGTTTTGAAAGATCACAAGTTCTATATTGTCTATACACATACATACCTTCGTTGCAACTCTTTTATTCTCATCATCATGTTAATATGTCCATGTGAATACTGTTCAAGCACTAGAGAGAGAAAAAGTGGAAATATTTATTAAAATTTTGTTAAGATAATAAGCACTGTTAAAATTAAAATGCTTACCATCACGCACATCATATGGCTTTCGGGCTTGCTACAATGAGAAATAAATAGATTTCTCAGTCATATGATAGTAAGTTACAATGTACTGACCTGAAATCGCTTTCTGGCTACAATGAGTTGCATTTTTCTAATGGCTCGAATCATTCGTTTATGATCATCTGTTAATGACCATAGTTTATGGAAGTTTAATGCTGTTTCTTCTTCAGCTTCCTGTTCTTCTTCTTCCTCATGATCAGTAGATACAATATAGCACCCTAAAAAAAGCAAGAATTGGTAAGTATATGACATTTATTTCAATGCATTTGGAAGTGCAAAGTTGTGCTCAAAATTTTTCAATAGTAGCAGAAAGTAATGTTAGCAATTTTTCTAAAGAAAATTAGCGTAGAACATAGAACTGTCCTGTTGAAGAAGACCAAAACTGATAAGTATTCAATAAAACGTGCGGTTCTCTTTTTGTAATATGTTTTCCCTTGTTGTAAACAAAATATCTAGTTTAAAATGATAAGATTGCCTATTTCCGATGTGTGCAGGAAGTATCAAAAATATATAGTTAAAATGCTTGTAACAGTACAGACCTGACATATACAAGCGACCTTATGTAATTAAAAATACTTCTTTGATGAAAATTTTGAGCATGAAAGAATACATTATATTTTCAACTTTGTACTGAATAATACTCATTCGTTAAACTTTTTCAGTTGATATATCACAGGTTTACTACCATTTTTGTAGTTTAAAGCGCGTTCTCATGTGTGAATAATTCTCAAAATACAACAAATTGTTTGAAAGACAATAACTCAAGCTTTAATGAGGCACTCACAACTAAAAATGCAATTTATAACATAAAACATAGGGTCAGAGTATTTATGCTATTGTACAAACTTTTGAATAGGCCAAAGAATACGAGAAATATCTTTTGTTTTCAACTTTAATAAGCGATTACACAATCCATAAGTGGTGGTAAAAGGACTAAAATAACTTTTACGTCTATTTGGTGATTGGTATTCATCAACTTACCTGTGGTATTGGACGCTGATGATGTGGAACCACGTGCTTCGCTTATAACTGGTGATTGTAAAAAGTTTGGACTTGGAGCTTGACTTCCACGTTTCGATCGACTCTTTCGGCTCGTACCAGATAAGCGTAAATATCTTAATTTCTCTGCTGTTCTTCCTAGAGAAAAAAAATGATGTAAATATGTATGTATACGGATTGAGTTTATTTTTGTTCACACCGGCAAATGTATGATTATTTGGTGTTAACGGTGGATTGGTAACAGTAGGATTCTCGCGCAGATAAATATTCCATGTTGCAACACAATTGCTACCTGGAGCAGACGAGTATACTCGCCAAGCTGCTTGTATCAAAGTTGCTGCTGCGGGAATCTGACGACTAAAATGTTTTTGTCGTTGTTTTTGTTGAACTTTGAGTGCAAAGCCAGAGCCGAGGATACCCTATTTAATGATAAACATCAAGTTTGTATTCATCTATGTTTCACTTTATTACTGTCATCTCACCGCTGGTAATGCAAAAAACGAAATGGCAAAAATGGCAAAACAAGAAGCGATGATTTTTCCAAGCCTAAAATAACAGATTACATAACGGAGTAAATATGAACCTTTATGATCTTTAGAAGATATATAACATACCATGTGACAGGATAGACATCACCGTACCTGCAATTAAACAAGAATAAGAGTGTACATGTGCTACATGTATTTAAATTTCCTTACCCAATTGTTGTTATGGTGATCTAAAACGAAAATTATCTCTAGTACTTTGTGAATACACTTCGTCCTCGGATACTTACAACTCCCCACCATAACGCATCAGCATAGCTTTCAAAATGACTCTCGTTGCCTTTGACGCCTCGCATTTCAGATCCTTTTTTTTCATCTTTTTCTGCTATATACACGAGATAAGAACAAAATATTAGAGCCAAAAAACCAATATATAATGTTGTGATTAACTCCTTAAATAGCCAACAAACATTGGTGATTGGAAAAAAGTACAAGGAAAAATATAAAATTCAACTAACTTGTCTGTGAATGTAAACAACACTTCCAAGTAATCGCCACGTACCACCATGACGATCAACATGTAACACTCGTAAAATCTGAAGAAATCTAACGCCTCTATGTATAAAAACAAACAGTAGAGCGTAATTTTTATGTTCTTTTGAGCTGCGTTTCCTACTTCAACAATGACTACACGATGGCATACCTTATTGCGGACGCTGCGAATGCTTGTTTGTCATTAGCAAATGCGATCATAAGCGTGGAAGCGATAACAACAAACAAATCTAAAAAGTAGTAAAAAAGAATAACGCTAGTGATTTTATCGCATAGTTATTATAATTTAAAATAGTACTTCCATACCTATAACTGCAATAGGTTTTCTGGCAAAACGAAACCGACCGTAAAGCCCCATGTATTTACTTCTACAACCAGCTGACCACAATCTCAATAAATATTCTGCACCAAAGAATACAACCAGAAATATTTCGATCCAATAAACATGTGCACTAATTCTGGATGCAAATTTTTCGATTGTCGAAATAACGGAAAGCACCAAGCACACCAATACCACCATAAAACTGAAAAAGAAAAGAAAAATACAAGATATTTCGTAAAGATTAAGTAAAGGAGCTCGGATGACTTAGTGTTAGACAATAATTCTCAAGCGCTCGTTCGCTTCAACCATGTTGTTTGGTATGTATTCGCCTAAGCAGAAAAGCGTAAGCAAGGAAATCTAGCTTATCAAATAACTCAAACGCCCGCTTAATCGTAGATTTTTGGGGTCAAATAGCTAGCTGCGCCGACCAAGCGGCCGATCCAGTGGGTGCATAATTGAGCGATTAGCCCCGAAGTCAAACACATCAGCTAGTTTCAATTCACTTAGACTAGCTTTGCCGGGTTAAAAATTGAGTCAGGTAGCTGCCTTCACGATCTTTTTTTCTTGACTGCGGAACTTTTTAGTTTTGACGTTCAAGGTATTTAGTTTTTAAGCATTGTATTGATTTTCATTGTGTTTGGAAACATATGGAGACGAAACAGATTTAGCTGGAGTTTCTTTTGCAAATGAGCTGAAGAGAAATTTTTCTTGCAGGCTACTTATAATCATAACGTTATGACTAATATAAATCATCTCTGCTCAGGTCCGCTCCGTTACTGAGATAGGAGGCATTGTTTGTAAAATAACCATAAGTGGTTCCAGTAGTGTTTCTGTATGTTTATTGGAGCGAGCTCCGTCCTCACTGGTAGAAATCGTGAAAAAATCCTAAGTCCGACATGATTAAAATGGAAAAAGTCCAAAATTTGCAAACGCTCTCCATCCATGGTAGCAATCTCAGTGCCAAAAGTTGTCGAGAATTTAAGTATAAGTTACAGCTGCCTAAGTAATAAGGTTACAATCTTTCCTTCAGCTCTTGTTTTCAATCAACAAGAGCCAGTTTTTACAAAAAATATCTGACATCTCAGTAACGAAGCGGATCCGAGCAGAGATATTTTATATTCCTCGTGAAGTTATGATTACAAGTAGCCTACAAAGTAAGTTTTTCTTCAACTCGTCTGCAAAAAAACTCCGGCTAATCTGTTTCGTCTCGATATGCTTAATTTTTTCTTTTATCAAATTAAATTGCTGTTTCTTTCAGATGTATGTTGAAAAAAAGCCTGAGATTTTGGTCAGCCACATGCTTTCGAGTCATCAAGTATGGTAAAGTATCCAAGAATGTGTCCCTAATTTCATTTTCTTTTGCCGACACAGACTTGATCGACATATTAACAAGGCAGATGTGATGTCGTGAAAAACTCCTCACTATTTTGACGTAAACTACGGATAATTAAATGTCATTTTCAGAATTACAGTCAGTTACAACCTAAAGATATAAAAACGGTAAATTTTTCTACGGATGACATTTTTCTGTCACCTTACCGATTAAAGAGAAAAAAGAGATGTTTCTTCCATTTGCCCGCACGCAATCTGATTTAGACATCTTCCATTAATTTAGAAACCATTCGCTCGATTACAATACCAGTAACAGCATATCTACACTTATTTAACAGATTGAGTTTGTTTTCAAAGATGAAAGAACTCTGCAACTCAGATTAATGTACTTCACACCATTTTGCTTTTAAAGATAAAAAAACTCATTTAATTAAAAATCCCAAAAAGCAGTTTCTAGATGTTCCAAAGTGTTCTCACCTTGTAACTAATATAAGATTACGTGTTTGGCTCTTACATCCTGTATATTTTTTAAAAATGTTTCGTTTTTGTGTTATACTTCTCACAACATCTATATAATGCATATAAACGAAGGGAAACAACTGAATATTTTTTACAAAAAATTGGTGCTTTTATAATAAGCCATGTACAATAGGTGAGCTCAAAATAGTAGATGTATATCATTGAATATTCTCTGATACTTCATTTGGGAGACGTCGACTTGTAACCGTTTGACGACTCTGTATATGTATGCGTTATTATCTAAGAACTTTTGGGAGACTCTATTGACTATCGACTGCAGGGAATTCTCTAAAATGATGAACGTGAATCAAATTTTTTTAATGATTTCAATCAGTCATATAGTACGATGTTATCTGTAGTACGATTGATAGAAAACCTTTATTTTTTGTATAAATAATCAACCAGACAAATGTTAAATATTTTTATCATCCGATTCAAACTAGAAAAACTAATTTTATAAAATCCTGAAATTTTCTCTATGAATTATACTTTAGTTGAACTATAATCCATATTTCACAGATTTGTATTAATAACAGATTCTTCAACGATTCTAACTCAAACACTTTTTTTTTTGTCTGCAATTCTGCTCAATGCTGTAATCATATGATCATAGAATTGAAAAATGAAAGTAAAATTGAATTAAATTTCTGTATACTTACACGGTAAAATGATAAAAAAAACATTTGAGACCAACAGGTCTTTCAAGGAAATTGTATAACATAATTTGAAAATTAGAGTGTGATGAACGATTGGTTTTTGATAAGTAAGGCATTGGTAATAATGACAATGAATAATATATTGGTGAATTGTTTGTGCGCAAAGCTGTTTTGTTTGAACGATATAAAAACGAAAGACCGACATCACGGCCACCAATTAGATCATTATGATTAAACATGAGAGAAAAAAAAAAGAAACAAGCCAAAGAACGGAAGAGAATGAAAGATATTGTTAAAAAAAAAAGAATAAAGGAAGCTTAGTATATTGCTCTTCTTGTTTTTTTGTTTTTTAGAAATGCTGGATGATTAAAAAAAAACTTGTATACATAGCTGCCAACTTCACGTTAGATACTAATATGAAATCGATTAAAGACATTAATACAGAAAGAATTTCTATGTAGAATAAGTGTATAGATAAACGTAAGATATCTGCCTTTAAGAAAAATATAGTAATAATAATAATCACCAGGATCTTTTGTTCAAGTTATTAAAACAAAGATAATTATTAAAATATTCATCATACATTTCACAATCTGAAGAAGAAAAGGTACTAGGAATTTATCTAAGAACAACAGATATTTCAAAATTACAAGCTAACCAAGTGTGATTGGTTATATTATTTCGAACAGTGAAAGATTAGTGAGAAAGAGTTGACAGGAAAGAGTGAGAACGATGAACACACCCTGAATAATTGAAAAGTTGACAGCTACTGTTTTTATTCTTCTCTTTTTTTTTGTCGATGTTACATTACAAAGGAAGAATATTCTGTTTTCCTTTTTCCTGATATTCGACTCGTATGTACAGTCGTGCTAAGTACGCTTGCTATAATAAATATTAAAATAGTGTAGGTTTTATTCTCACCAAAGTTCTATAATTTTTTTCTTCTTCTAGTAAATGATTATTGAATCGAATCTGATCAATCCCATCGACTTCAATTACGTATTTATTGTCAAATTTTTATCAACTCACAATTGGGTATAACTTTCTGATATTATCATTGTTTCTTCCTATTTTACAAAACGTTTTTACGAGAGTAATTTGCTAATCCTCATTCTCTTAATCACCTATGATCAACTCAGTAAGATATTTTGCTTTCAATCACGCCTTTTTTCAATGAGCCATAGTTTTAGTATAAGAAATGCGTTCTATTCTAATTCTAAGCCAAAAATAGTGTGCATGAAGAAAATAAAATGTTATATACAATATTTTGCTAGATGTTAAAAAAATTTTGTTTGTTGCCTTAAGTAATACGTCTTTCCCTATTAGTGAAAGTCCCGTTATTAGTATCTAATTACTATTGTTTTTAAAAAAGAGAGAGAAAGTGAGAGAGAAACGAAACATCTTTCCGGTTTCAATTGAGACTCATATACTAAAAAAAAAAAGAAATGAATACTGAAGACTGCACGCTATATTGAAAAATTGTTTTTTTAACAGAGGTTAATAAAAAAATTATGCTTTTGTTGTTTAAAAAAAATTTGATAAAACAAGTCAACTATTTTACAACAGTCTTGTTTTCCTCATCATTTGTTTTACTCACTCTAGTATTATTAGCAGCTAGTAATCATTAACAGAAGCTAGTCATTAAGAGACATATTTTAATATATCACAATATATATAATATACTCTGTTCATAAAAATATCTTTATTTCTTCACTTACAATACTCTTATTGAAGAAAACTTGACTTTAATATACTAACTTGAATATATTGTCTACGCCATTGGCAATTTAATATCAGATTGGCTTTTATTTTTACTCGGTATAGTATATAAAAATCATGATTTTCTTTGTTGTTGTTGTTGTTACTCATCCAACCAACGCTTTTTAGATGACACTATGAAACTTTTACTAGAGGAAACTAGACCTTTTCTAATGTGTATTTAAGGTTAAAATAGAAGTATTCCATCTATATTCTAAATATAGACTATTGAAAGCTTCCAAGACCATGACACTCTTGCCTTTATTGATGAGCTCTAATATATTATTATTTTCAAACAAACATTAATTTATGGTTTATGACAAAAATTTGTGAATACGAAGTAACTGTCAAACTAACTTTGATTAAATACCCTTTTTTTTGTTAAAATCATTGCATAAATCGTGAATAAAACATACGTAAACATATAAAAAAACGTTGGAGAAAAGAATGTTTTGAATAAAATGATCTGTCTAGCTAAAATCGTGATTACATAGTGACAAACTGATGATTTCTTTCTTTTCTTTTCATTACAACTTAGGAGAAGAAGGTATACATGTGTAAAACGATTGAATAAATCTATTATTATATTAGAACACTATGAATTTGAAACACGAAAAATTTTAGGAATAAAATAAAAGCACTAAAAAGAATTTCAGAACATCAAATTGAAGATGACATATATAATGTAATTTGATGACTAAGAATTTTAGAATGGATTCTTTTAGACTTTTCTAATTAGAAGGAATAAAAATAAATGTACATATTATGAGTATATTTAATGTAGTAAGTTCAGGATAAAATTCATTCGTCAACAACCTGTAGAAAAATGGAAAGGCAATAATGTTCAAAAAAAAAGTCACAATAATTTTGAGTTTATAAATATATATATTTTTGGTTCACTTATGTTGTTTATTTGGATCGGTGGTAGACAATTATTAATTATTATTATTATCATTATTTATGCTCTTTTGCTACTAAATTAATAAAAATTTGAGCGTTTTTTGAACCGTATCATAAAGTATGTGTATTATTTCCTTTGTTTCGGTTATATGATAGACTCCGATTTTAGTTTAAAGAAACAAAGTATTTACGTAACATTAGCAATTAACAGATAACTGCCATAGAAACTCTGTCATGGGATGTTGCCTATGAAGAGTAGATATTATATATTAACATTGCATATGTAATTGTTTTTTTGCATGAATAAATAGAAAGAAAGCTAGTACTTGATAATATTCGTGTTAGTCCAACTGATGTTTTATATCAAATTTGATGGTAAGAATTGTCGTTTTTTTAACAGTAAAATTTTTGATGTTCAATAAAATTCATATGCCCCATTAAGCTAAATATGTTCTAATCTTTTCAAAATGTAAATGAAGTATTAGACAATTCTAATATTCTCAATAATTCATACAAACTATTTTAACTCGTGTGAATCGTAGACAACTGTGAAAATATTATTTTATATAATTACAGACATCATTAATAAATATATAAATCTAACAATTAAAAAACTAACGACTAATCATTAAAAAAAATTGTGAAATTTTAATCAAAAATAAAAATATAACTTACTTTTCTCTCGTTCATTTTGGCTATTTATATACACATATATTAAAAAAATCTTTTGTTTTCATGATGTGATGTTGTGATTACAATAAAATTGCTCTAATTACATGGTTTTCCCTTTTAATTGTAGAACTATTCATATTTCTGTTAAGAATACAATAATACTACAATATGATAGTAATATACTTTTCCTTTCCGTGTTTTTCTTTTTTTCCCTTTTTTCTTCTTCATTTTCAATTAAGCTTGCAGAAATATAGTCCTTTGTCTAAAGAGAAGAAAATATGACAACTTTGTATGCTGTAATAAAATAGAATTTGATCTTTACATACATCTTTGATCCTATATGAAAGAACGTTTAATATACCTTTTCCTCTTGTCTAGTTTGAAAAAAACATGATCTTTTACCTTGTTTATTTCTATTTACTGCTTTTCTTAGATCCTTCTAAAATATCTAGTATTTGATGAAACTATTGAAATAACATTATTTGAATGAGAGGATGTCTAGTTCATGCGTATAATTAATTGAACAAGTTTTAGTATTGTGAAATGAAGTATAAGTAGACATTAAAAAGATTCAGTTTTCATTTAAAACCGATGTTGTAAGTATACGGTTTGAAGTTATTCTCATTAAAATCTTATAATGATGGCATACATACACATTTTATCCGTCCTTTAGTTCCCGTTGTTGTTAATGACATTGAAATTAGTCTATTATCTGGTTGTTAACGAGTATAAATGTTTGCCTTGAAGAATTAATCCGCTTATTATATACTCAGTGGAGGACATGAAAAGATTAAACCAGGAAGAAGGACTCAAGTTCCAATAATTGGAATGAATTCATTCTATTTTTTTACAGTAAATTTCTCGTGTTCTCATGAGTTAACATTAGACTACATCAAAATTTCTGAAAGCAGAGGAGTGTATACTCTTTTTAAGAAGGAAGACTTCTTTCCTCCTAGTAATTTCCTCCACGTGATGCCGTTGTTTATATTATAATTTAATTTACTTTCGTGTGCTAAAAACATAGAGTGAAAGATAATGAATAAACTATCAAACATTTGCAATTCTAAATACCATACAAGTAATTTTAATTTTATGACTTCGTCTGTACTTTTTTTTTTTTATAGTGACCTAATCTATAGAAATATACAAAAAATATTAACTTGATTGATAGAAAGAAGAAGAAAAAGAGAAACATATTTGCTTCCAAGCATTCTGTCTTTACCTCTAACGTTATTTGTGTTTTAGCGACTCATAGTCAATATAAAATTTAGATAAAATCGTAAAAGACCGTAGGCTTTCTGTACAACTGGCCTCGATTTAATAAAATTTTATTTAAAAAAAAATTAGTTAGAGACTCGATATTTGAAAAATGAATTAATAAATATTCAAAATTAAATTTGAAAAAAATAAATAAATTATTATTTTTTTTCTAGAAGTGTATCGTTTTAGAAGTGACTTGAATCCAGGAGACGGAATGTTTGTAATTTTGATTCGCTTTTTAAACTCAGTCATAATTTCATTTTTTATTATGTTAACGAGATAAAATTCATAATATTATAGAATGAGTCTACACACAAAGAACAACAAACAGTAAATTATCTAATCCTTTAGTCTGTTCAAAATGTTAATCTAACTTTTATTTTCCTCTTCTTTTTTATTTTCTAATTATTCGTAGTAATGATTAAATACAGTTCATCGACATCATTATCATTTCTCCTACATCAATACACATGCACTCTTTGAAAGAACAAGATTTTTACAAGTACACAACCAAGGTGGATATAAATTAGACAATTTAAATAGTCAATCGTCGTGCGAACGAAGTCCCTATACTTGTCAATTTCGATGTAATGTCATCATATTTTGCCATGTCTTATTTATTATCTATTATATACCATCGATAAATTGATTTTATTTTCACTAAAAGAAAACTAAATAATTTTTTCTTCAACCATTTGTGTTATTAAAATTAAAAGTATTGAGATCAGTTACGACTAATGTTACAGAAATAGATGACAAAACTATTTTTTAATACAATTTTATTAACGGACAGTCAATTCTATATTAAGGCCAAAGTCTTTTATTCTTACTTTCATAGAATTTATACGCGAAGAACTTTGGTAATTATCAAAGAAACAAATTTGTATTAAGACACAAAATATGTGGAAGAATTTAAATTTTTTGAAAATTTTTTAGTAAAAATAATTCGGTGTAGTGAAAAGTGAATGTCCACTATGCCGTATCACATACAACACAGAGCGACAAAATGAAATCGACCTCGATTCATTCGCTCTTTTAAGCGCTGAATGAATTCTATCTTGGACACATTGTACAACATATTCATTTGCTGCAGGCAGAAATTGTGTTTGTATGAGCGAAAATAATCAGGCTCTATTATCATGCCGATCAAAGCTCTTGTTCTCGCCGAAAGTTCATGTAACATGTTTCTGTTAAAAGAAATTTATTCGTTTTAATGTGTGATACTATGTAAAAACAATATTCAGATGTCTTTTTGTCTTTTCTGTATAAAAGAAAACAAAAAATGATGGGAAAAAAGAATGTGACGAACTAGATAATCAGTTGCATTCATTTCTAACAATTAGACAGTGGTATTGTCTAAACGCGTATAATTGCACATAAAAGTGAGATTATACGATGGAATCGAGAAAAAGAAGAAGAACTTGACGAACGTCACCTAGAAAACCCACAGGAAAAGCAATAAAGTGCAAGAATTCGTCTTGATACTTAACAAAAAAGTAGGTAATGATGCCGCTGCAACTATATTGTAAAATCATTATCAAAGTCATATCATGCTAGACATGACAAATATACTTTACAAAGGTGAAATGAAATATGACGGACATTTCTGAAAAATACAACAGTCATGGAATACCGAGGCATGTGAAACTTTGCTAAAGATAACAAAATAAGAAGTCCTCGATTAACTAAATGAAAAACAGAATTAATAAATTCTCTGTGAATATTAGACGCTTACAAGTACGTGTTCTAGAACTAATTAATTAAATAGACTATTCATTATCGGAGTGATTTATCCCTAATAGCATAATCACCATTTAATCGAATGAACCCTTGTTTATTACGGGCCTGAGTATTTGAACTCGACATGCCGAAATCGTATATAAAATAATTTTTTTTGAAATCAATCAGTATTCATTCACTTCAACAGTAAAAGTCGAATAATAACAAAATTGAAAAAAGTTCTACAGAGTTCAATATTAAGTCTATTATTGTGCATGTTGTTTCACGTTAAAATGTCACATTCAACAAATTGAGCATTGTCATTACATTATATTACATTACTATAACATTTGAAATATTTGGAGATATCAGATGATTTACAAGAAAAATGTCGACAAATTCTTGATAAGTTATCGTGTTTCATAATAATTAATCGACATAAGAAGACGGTATCTGTGGTTTTTCCTTTCGCAAATCAAACAACTAAAACTCACTTGTTTTAACATCACGATAAAAAGGGAGAAAACAGAAAAAGAACTTTATATCGATGATATATCAATTACTTTAGTTTCAGATATATATGGAATCCAACTAGAGGTGATTCTAGCCAAGATGAGTACGATCACTCCAAGGTACACAGTGGTCAGATACCCAATAGCAGTTTCATTGCCAATATTAATGCTTCTTCTTTTCTAAATATTGTACATTTTTATCTGAGAGTCACATAGCCCATTAGTGCTAATGGAGTGGACGTGAATAAAATACTCTTTCGTTAAGAAAACTAAATTGTATGTTATTGTTCGCATGGTTGTCAAGGAGAGAGAAGCAAATTGATTATATTAAAACATAGTTGAATGGAATATATGCAGTCACATTGTGTAATCTTTGATGTTGTTGTTTTTGTGAGCACGATTTTCTTGAATTTTTACATGTTCGTGTAACTCCGTTAAAAGAGTAGAAAAATTAAATATGTTAATTACGAGCTCATCATCACCAGCCATTTTAGATAGAAAATATCAGGCAATACGTAATGAAGCGCTTAAATCCGGTATTTTGTTGAAAGAAACGGACGAAAAAGTCGAAGAAGTGATTACTAATACTCATATTCTCAATGCAAAAGCAAATGCTGTTCGAACTGGTGCTTTTGCCATACACAGTAATCTATTAAAATCTGATAAATTAGCAAAACTTTGTCAATTATCACTAATATTATTGACGCTAAGTGGTGCCGTTATAATCATCGTGAAATTGATAATAAATCAAAAAACTGTTGAACATACAAGAATCGTTGAGCCAGCACATTCACTGTTTCAAACGTCTGAAGAACGAACGGTAGATAAATTACAAAATGTATTTAGAGATCAAAGATAGCGTTCTCTATCTTCGGCTACAATAGTAAAGGATGAGTAAAAGAGATTTTGAACCTTTTTATAAAAACATTATGAACAGCGTCAATCGTAGCACACGCAAGTGTATGCTGCGCTTTTCTCACATGTTTGTGTACTTCTGATTGTTCAATGAGCATCCAAGTAATTATAGTCATTTCCAACTAACCCTACTTAAAATTTCAGTGCTGGTATTGGAAAAGTCAAAAATGCTACTAACGTAAGTAGCATAACTGTATAAAAGGCGATTTAAAGTTTCAATCTTTATTTAAGAATTGGCTTAAGAGTTTGTTTTATTCTAAAAAAATTAATTACGGGGTGATCTTGCACACAAAGCACTTGAAATATCTTGTCTTAGAAACAACCGTTCTCACTGCACGGCACTTGAGAGATGCAATTAATTCGATAATCTTCGAAAGTAGTTATTAGACCAAATGTAGAGAATGCTATCACTCAATTATTTGAGCTACACATACACACTTGCAAACCATGTACTATCTTTTTGCAAACCGGAGGAACTATACTGTGCGTCACAAGATAGTTAGTGTGAAGCGATGCACATCAACGTGGGTAGTTTGATTAGTAGATGATTTGTCAGCGTACAGGGTTCGAATACAACATCTCCAAATATGAGAAGAACAGCGCAGCCGCTACGTGAAAGCTCCATGCAAAAAGACGTCGGCATCCTTATTTACCTTTTAACTATACTGTAGCTTGATAGATAATATTTTCTTATACTTTTATTAAAGATGAAGCCGGCACCAATCTTTCAGCGCATTGGTACAGAGCCATGCCGAATGACTAGGCAAGGAAGTTTTAGTACATAACCACAAAACAAATTTTTTATCGTCTTTTACCATTAGGTAAAAGCCCAATAGACGCCTTGCCGTTAAAAAACCCGAATTAGCTAACAGTTTTGAATATTTGATTCCTATTCCTGGTATACATGTTGTCGGTTTGCTACCCATTGGTTCTAAAATAAATAACTGATATTTTGTATTGTGTTGTTGATTTATAAATATTTCGTCATCATTGATAGAACTAATTGATAAAGTTTTAGGAGATGTCGAAATACTATTGTAGAAGGTGAACGAAGGTGGTAGCTGATGAGGAGCGAAACTACTATTGAATAAACCATTATGTCTGTCAATGCATTGTAATGCGTTTATACTACGATCAAGGTTTTTTGTAGATAATTTATTGCACAAAAGTGGCTCTGTTGTTACACTTTGTCTCGATTGCCAACTCGTTCTTTGCAATGCAGAGGGTACGAATTCATCATTATCGATGAAATTTTCCTATAACAAATCATGATTGAAATACAACAACATGTAAGTCATTCTTTACCATTCTGTGTTTCTGACAAACTTTGTTAAGTTCTTTCCATGTTCCATTTTTTCCTAAGAGATACGCTCGAGTCAATTCTTTTAAATACAACTCTTCATTAGATGACAATATGCATTCTGTCTGGCCTGCTTGTTGAAGAAACGACTGTAGAAAACATAAACAAATGTCTTCTGGACTGCGTGTTATTGGTATCTTAGTCGTTGCTGTTGTTGTCGGTACTGGCGGTGACTTTGTCTGATATAGCAAAAAATAGTTTTTATATAAGCATGGTTAAAACTTTTTACTTACAGATCGAGCGGAACTCATCGAAGTAACATCAGTTTGAATATTTACTTCTTCGCCAATATCTATCTGGGATTGACAATCTTCATCATTGGCAGCATTCGGCTTTGTGCTGCTTGTGGTTGATTTACATGATTGAATTTGTGTGTTTGGTGATTTATCTGATTGTTCATTGGTAACATTAACGTGTGTTTCAACATCTTTAGCTAATGTACGCAGTTCATGACAAAGTCCCAGAATCTTCTCTAATCTCATCAACATATTCTGTGATGTTCGAGTCTTTCTCGTTGGACTTGTTGTAGTTATTTCACCTTCCAATGGACCTGGATTTGGTTTGTGCTTGATCGATGGTGTAACTGATGTTTCTCTAGCCACTGTAGTGGGACTATTTTCATTTGGTAAATAATTGATCTTATTCACCTCCACACACGATTTAGAACAGCATTCAAGTAACTGGCATTCTGCTTCTTGTTGATGAAGTTCAGTCATTATTTTTTCATGCTCCTTCTTTCCTATAGTTTCCCTGTGTTGTTTTTTCCTCAATTGTATTTCAGAACAGATGCATTCCGGACGACAATTTTCAATGTTTCTTTCCGCTTTGCGTTTATTACGCTGATCTCTAAAAGACTTGAAACTGAACTATTTCACACGATTTCTATTCTTATCTAGTTCGGATCAGACTATACGAACCGTGATTGATCAACACTATCGGACGGTTGATAAATTCGCAAGTTCCTTCTCGATTGACGTCTTTCATTAAAATCTCTTTCTCTATAGATATCCTCATTGTCATTATCACACTGTTCTTCTAATCTCAGACCTCGGCGGAGTTTATTCATATTAAAGGCATCAAAAGCGTAAAAACTATTTCGACTATACGTCGGCTGAAAACAGCCTTGCATCGATGTCAGAAAATAGTCCCGACGCAATTTTTTCTTATGCACCATTATTACTGGTTGCCTATGTGCTTCTGCTTCTGGTAGTACTCGTTGTCGAAAAGTCATTCCATCATCATTTGGCGCTTGGAATCGCTCTTCTTGAGGTATTACTGCTTGTCGTTCTGGTATATACGCATTTGCTGACACATTACAGTAGCGATTGAATGTGAAACTGTTCAAAGATGAGGAAGACTTGTCAAAAACAACTGTTTTTCTATTCACTAGTTCTTTACAAGTAGCTGGTAGGCAATCACTATAAGTCGTTGTAATTAACGATCCATTATTCAAACACAATGATGTGAACGAAGGATTGCTACTAGTTTGAATCTTGTTCGACTGTAACGCTGATAACCACGATGAACATTTGTCTATTCGATAATTATGCTGTTTTGATATAAGGGAATCCACACACGACGAAAATGCATTCCAGTTATTATTATTATTATCATTTGTTTCAGTTATATCTTTTTGTACAGTGATAATGTCTGGTGTACTTGACACATTTACATGATTCAGAAGAAGAAGAGCAGCTTGCTCAACAACATTTCTTTTTAGATTTTCTTTCCATCTTTCGTTTTGACTTTCTAGTTGTGACGTTATCGCTTGACATTCATTATTGTTCGAAACATTCGCTATTTCTTCACGAATAGCCGATTGCTTAACTTCGTTTGGGCCAAAAATCATATGAATTTTTGAAAAATTCACTAATCAAGAAACATAAATAATTAAGAATAATTAACATTTGAAATTTCGTAACATAGAAGGAAAGTTGGAATAATCTAAATATGATACATTTTCGATTTCATGGTTGCTATGTATGAGTCTTTGATTCTTATTTAACTAGCGAATGAATAGTCTAAAGCTGTTTGTATGCTTGTCGTTCTAAAAATGTTTGGTGCACCAGGACGATACCTTTAGCCAAAACTCTGAAGTTTTACATTTGGTGCGATCTTCTTGAATTTTGACTAAATATGATGCACTTCATAAATGTACTAAATCTATATTGCCATATTAATCGAAGTAAAAGAGCATCGACAGTAAAAAGATCGTTTTAACCCGCTAATTAGTATATTTGAGAGAAGAATGAGTAAGACGAACACTCGGAGTATTTCAGTTTTCAGTGCGAATTGTTTGGTGTGTGAATGCGTTTACGAAGGCTTTTTCATGAGATCCACAACAAATTCTAAATAACCAGTCCAAATTTTCGATTTTTTCAGGCTTAGTCCAGTTCTAACTCGATTATCTTTGTAAATCAGAGTGAACTCACAGGAATTAGGCTTTTCTACATAACCATACTTCCCTCTTCAAATCTTCTGTCACGGTATTCTAGATAAACTTTTGGTTAGATACACATACAATACGGCATTCACAATTTCAAAATACTGGGTGATGAACAAGAAACAAAAGAAAAACATTAAAAAAATTCGTTCAGGAACATACCCTAGTGAATGTACTTGAGGTCAAGTACTTAGAAAAGTACTTTGATAAGTACTGTCCAGAGTTCCTGGAACATTTTTTGAAGGTAAAAAAGGTACTTGTCAAGTAATTTAACAAATATAAGTACTTCATAAAGTATTTGGCAGGTAATCTGATAAGTACTTGCGAAATATATGCAAATATCCGAAGTTCTTCCAAGTATTTGGCACATATTTAATCTAAAAATGGTTGACAAGTGCTCAACCAAGCACTTTAGAAAATTTTCAAATAGCTAAGTACTTGATCTCAAGTACATTCACTAGGCTGGTTAAAAAATAGCATAAAATAGCCTTCTAATTTTTCTTTTATGAGTTAACTTTCGCTTTTGTGAAAAGGTACTTTGAAAGGCGTATATGTGGGAAATTACTTCGCAGGACTGATATGCGTTTTCTTTAAAAAGGTATTACACAAAATGGTGTACGTTTAAAAGAGACATTGAATAAAAAATCGAGGAAATGCATAGTAAACCAAAGAAGATAAATATTATTACATAATCCCTTGATATAAAATTATTAAGAACTGAATTAAATGAGAGTTTAAAACTGATTTATTAAAATCAAAATGGCTTAGAGAATGAGAAAATAGAGACACACAACCAGAAGATTTTATTAGCGAGAAAGAAAATCGACTCAAATTGTGTTTAAAGTAGTATTTTAAGCAAGACATTAGAACTTCATATATTATATAATCAATTTGTAAAATAAATAATATTGTTATTTTAGCGTATGCAAATATCGATAAGAACACTTTTGAATTCTAAGCTATACCAGATTACAGTTATAAGAGTGAAAAATGTAATAAACATATTCAAATTTGGTTAGATGGAGAAAAATTTTCCGAAACAGACACAAAAGAAATAAAAGATCCTAAAATTTTAGAAACATTTGTTAATAACTCAATTACTGTTGGATATTT